CCCAGCCTCAGTCAGTCAGCCCTCAGCTGCAGCCGCAACCTCCTTTTCCGTCTCCATCGGTTCCCTGTACGACGCAGCTGATCGCCGCCGATTTTCATCCCGTCTTCGGACAAACAAACAAACTCGACAAGCAACAAACCCTCACAGGCTTTCCATCGCCAGTGACTTTGCCCTCTCTCTCTCTCTCTCTCTCTCTCTCTCTCTCTCTCCATCCCCCACTAACAAAAACGGACTACTACCCCAAGAGTCTGCCATGATTTCCCCGCAACGCCATGGCTCATAATCACAACTACCAGGGCCGAGAGCCCTTCAGAGACCCGTGGGCCGGGCCACGCCCCGACCAGCATCTCTCGCACAAAGTGTCCGCCCTCTCTGACGCCAGCGACCCGGACGGCCGCTACGACCCGGACGATGGCTCTCACCACCTGCGAGGCCGCGAGTCCATCGTGTCGCTCGAGTCCGAGTATGACCGCCGCAGCTCCATGGCGTCCTCGGCATACGCGTACGGCCCTCCTCGCAGCTACTCGCCGGCTTCGTGGACCGGCTCCTTTTCCTACGCCGGCGCTGGCGGCGCTGGATATACTCCCGTACTAAACACTCAGGGCGGCGGACCTCCTCCCTCGAGGGTCCCGTCCAAGGGCAGTCGGAAGCCGAGCTACTCTTCCGTACAGCAGACCGTCCTCCCTGCGAGCATAAGGGAGGAGGAGACGTACGACCTATCGCTGCTCCAAGGCGCGGCGCCCATGGGCACATCAAGACCACCACCAGCAACAGCGCGCGGAGGATATGAGGCCATCCACGAGCAGGACGAGGACTACGACGCCGGCGTCCCCGCGTTCGACTTCACAGCGACCCTGGGCCCGATGGACTCGCACGACAGCGCCTTCATCAAGAAGCTGCAAGAGCAGGAGGCCAGGGGGAATCTCACCGGCGGCCTGGGCCAGGGGTTCCGGGCGGGCTCCCAGCTCCGCAGCGGCGATCTCCTGTCATCATCATCATCATCGCCCACCGCCGCCGGCGTCCAGCGCAGCCTCTCGCAGACCCTCTCGCGTTCCTTCTCGCGGCGGAACCCGAGCAAGCGGCTGCTGAACCGCGCCGAGGCCCTGCGGCACGTGGGCCAGGACGAGGCCAACCGCCGCGGCGAGGTCATCGAGGTCATTGTGGAAGAGCCGGTGGGCGCCGACCTGAGCAACATCGAGGGGCCCAACATCATCGCCTCGGGCGGGATGCGGCAGTCGACGTACCCGGCCAAGGAGAAGGTGACGACGACGCAGACCTTTTACCCGCAGCCCAACTGGAAGCCCTTCTCCATGCGGTGGCCGTACCTGACGTCGCTCATCCTCGTCTCGCTGGCCCTAGCCGTCATGCAGGAGGTGCTGTTCCAGATGTACAAGGAGAAGCCGCTGGTCAAGTTCACGTCGCCCGACCAGGTCAAGCAGGGCGTCTACTTCGTCATCAAGTTCGCGCCCACGCTGCTGGCCGTCATCTACGGCGTCCTGTGGCAGTTTACCGACTTTGAGGTGCGCCGCCTCGAGGCCTTCTACCAGCTCTCCAAGGAGGAGGGCGCGACGGCCTCGGACTCCATCAACATCGACTACGCCACCAGCTTCAACTTCTTCCGCCCGTTCCGCGCCTTCAAAAAGGGCCACTACGCCGTGGCCGTGTCCTCCATCGCGACGATCCTGGCCGTGTCGCTGGTGCCGACGTTTGCCGCCGCCGCCGTGGTGCTCAGCCCGACGCGAGCGGAGCGCATGGCCAACCCGTCGGGCTACAAGACGCTCGGCTTCAGCCCCGTCTGGTCGCGGCTCCTGACGTCGACGCTGGGCGTCATCGCCGTCCTGGCCTGCATCCTGGCGTACCTCCTGCAGTCGCGCAGGTCGGGCCTCCTGTCCGACGTCCGGGGCATCGCCGGCCTCGCGTCCATGGCCGTGGTGAGCCACATCCTCATGGACTTCAAGGACATGGACACGGCGCCCCACGGCGAGATCCACAACCGGCTCAAGTACAACCGCTACGTGCTGCGCAACTCGTCCCTCGCGCCCGACGACTCGAACCCGGTGACGTCCAAGGAGAGGGAGCGGTCGGAAGACATCGACCTCCCCGCGAACCCGCACCCCGTGCTGCTCCGCTCGGCGGGCATCATCCCCATGATTGTCGGCCTCTGCCTCTTCACCGGCTTCATCCCCGTCTTCCTCTTCACGCCGGCCACGATCGTGACGGACAAGGCGCCCTGGGTCGTCACCGTGCTCGCCGTGCTCCTCAAGATGGCCTGGGGCGGCATGGAGACGGCGGTGCGCATGATGGAGCCCTACTACATCCTCTCGCGGCGGCACGCCCCGGCTAACACGCTGCTCCTGGACTACACGGCGCTTCCCTTTGGCTACATGCCGTTACGGGCTCTGCTCAACGGCCACCTGCTGGTGTTTTCCGTCGGCTTCGGCAGCGTCATGGCCGAGTTCCTGACCGTCCTTGTCGCCGGCCTGGCCACCGTCGACGGCCACGACTTCCTGCTCGTCTACAGCGATGAGGACCAGACGTGGGAGATCAACTCGGGCACGGAGACGGTCAAGTCCTTTTACGTCTCCGTCGCCCTCTCGCTCTTCATCCTGCTGTACATGATGGCCGTCGCCCTCGTCGTCTTTCTCCGCCGGCGGCACCCCTTCCTGCCGCGCCAGCCCAACACCATCGCCTCGGTGCTGGCGTACATCCACCAGAGCAAGATGCTGTACGACTTTGTGGGCACCGAGAAGTTTTCGTCGGCGCAGGTCCGGCAGCGGCTGGGCGAGGACAAGACGTACGGCCTGGGCTGGTTCGTCGGCAGGGACGGGCAGAAGCACTGCGGCGTGGACCAGGAGGAGCTGATTAGCAATTACAAGCATGGGATTAGCTTGAAGCAGGGGACGCAGCCGTGGAATATCCAGTGGGATGTTCTCTAAGGCTTTTGATTCTCCTAGTTTTCCCAAGTTTTACATCTCTTTTGGGTCGTCGTACGTATCGCTCTGATGGAATGGTGTTATGGATAATGTGTAATTTGTCTGGTAGATTGGATGCATTTCGGGATGATGGGCAAGCATTGTCGGCAAACATGAAGGATCTGGCGCATACTATTCCGAGCATTCTGGGCAGTAATCTTCTATATATGTCATTGTCATCACCAATATCGAGGACTTTCGAGTTAAAGCAGC